ATTCTTTTCTTTATGGGTTGGGGCTTCCTGGCAGGACTGGCATCTGTTACCCGATATCTGAATTTACTGCCCTTCGAGTGAAGAAATCCTCCTCATCTCAGTCCTGCCCTTTCTCCTGAAACCATGTCCCTGCTTTCATGTGTCACTTCAAATAGTTGTATATTTAAATGGTAATGTAATTCCTTGTAATATGCAGCCGGAATTCAACTTTGGAAAGGTGTGCAAAGAAAATTTAAATTTGTGTTAAACAGATGTATCCTGTATTGTTTATCGCTTCATAATAAGACCATAAGACCACAAGACATAGGACGAGAAGTTAGGCCATTCGGCCCATCGAGTCTGCTCCGCCATTCAATCATGGCTGATAAGTTCCTCAACCCCATTCTCCCGCTTTCTCCCCGTAACTCTTGATCCCCTTGATAATCAAGAACCTATCTATCTCAGTCTTAAATGTACTCAATGACCTGGCCTTCTGTGGCAGTGAATTCCATAGATTCACCACTCTCTGGCTGAAGATGTTTCTCCTTATCTCCGTTCTAAAAGGTCTTCCCTTTACTCTAAGGCTGTGCCCTCGGGTCCTAGACTCTCCTACCAATGGAAACATCTTCGCAACATCCACTTTGTCCAGGCCATTCAGTATTCTGTAAGTTTCAATTAGATCCCCCCTCATCCTTCTAAAATCCAATGAGTATAGTCCCAGAGTCCTCAAACGTTCCTCATATGTTAAGCTTTTCATTCCTGGGACCATTCTCATGAACCTCCTCTGAAACTGCTCTAGGGCCAGTACATCCTTCCTGAGATATGGGGCACAAAACTGCACACAATACTCCAAATGTGGCCTGACCAGAGTCTTATAAAGCCTCTTTTAAATTAAAAAGCAGTACATCCCTGCTTTTATATTCAAGTCCTCTCAAAATAAATGCCAACATTGCATTTGCCTTCCTGACCACTGACGAAACCTGCAAGTTTACCTTGAGAGAATCCTGGACTAGAACTTCCAAGTCTCTTTGCACTTCAGACTTCTGAATTTTCTCCCCATTTAGAAAACAGTTCATGTTTTTGTTTTTCTTACCAAAGTGCATGACCTCACACTTTCCCACGTTGTACTCCATCTGCCACTTCTTTGCCCATTCTCCTAACCTGTCCAAGTCCTTCTGCAGCCTCGCCACCTCCTCAATACTACCTGTCCCTCCACCTATCTTTATATCGTCTGCAAACTTAGCCAGAATGCCCACTGTTTCTTATTCTAGATCATTAACGTACAAAGTGAAAAGTTGTGGTCCCAGCACTGACCCTTGTGGAACACCACTTGTCACCGGCTGCAATCCTGAGAAAGACCCCTTTATCCCCACTCTCTGCTTTCTGCCAGACAGCCAATCTCTATCCATGCTAGCACCTTGCCTCTAACACCGTGGGCCCTTATCTTACTCTGCAGCCTCCTGTGTGGCACCTTATCAAAGGCCTTCTTGAAGGCCAGGTAGATAACATCCATTGGCTCTCCTTGGTCTAGCCTGCTTGCTACTTCCTCAAACAATTCTAGCAGATTTGTCAGGCATGACCTCCCCTTGATGAAACCATGCTGACTTTGCCCTACTTTACCATACACTTCCAAATATTCAGAAATCTCATCCTTTACAGTGGACTCCAAAATCTTACCCAAGACTGAGGTTAGGCTAATCAGCCTGTAATTTTCCATCTATTGCCTTACTCCCTTTTTAAACAGGGGTGTCACATTAGCAATTTTCCAGTCCTCTGGGACCCTCCCAGATTCTAGTGATTCCTGGACACTTCACCACAAACACTTTCACTATCTCTTCAGCTACCTCCTTTAGAACTCTGGGGTGTAGTCCATCTGGTCCTGGTGATTTATCCACCTTCAGGCCAATCAGTCTTACTCACACCTTTTCCTTGGTGATGGCCACCATACTTAGCTCTGCCCCTGACTCTCTTGAATTTTTGGGATATTACTCGTGTCTTCCACCGTGAAGACTGACGCAAAGTAATTATTCAGTTCCTCAGCCATTTCCTTGTTCTCCACTACCATCTCTCCACTGTCATTTTCCAGTGGTTCAATGTCCACTTTTGCCTCTCTTTTGCCCTTTATATACCTAAAGAAACTCTTACTGTCTTCATTTATATTACTGGCTAGCTTACCCTCGTATTTAATCTTCTCTCTCATTTTTTGTTGTTGCCCTCTGTTGGTCTCTGTAAGCTTCCCAGTCCTCTGGTTTCCCACTGCCCTTCGCCACATTATATGCTTTCTCTTTTGCTTTTATGCTATCCCTGACTTCCTTAGTCAGCCATGGTTGCCTCATCCTCCCTGTACCATGCTTCTTTTTCCTAGGGATGAATTTTTGCAGTGTCTCCTGAATTACTCCTAGAAACTCCTGCCATTGCTGTTCCACTGTCTTTCCTGCTAGGCTCTTCTTCTAGTCAATTCTGCCCAGCTCCTCCCTCATACCGCTGTAGTCTCCTTTATTCAGCTGTAATATCGTTACCTCTGATTCTATCTTCTCCCTCTCAAATTGCAGAGTAAATTCTATCATTTTATGATCACTGCCTCCTAAGGGTTCCTTTACCTTAAGCTCCCTTATCAAGTCTGCCTCATTGCACATCACTAAATCCAGTATGGCCTGTTCCCTTGTGGGCTCCACCACAAGCTGCTCCAAAAAACTATCTCATAGACATTCCACAAACTCCTTTTCTTGCAATCTACTACCAACATGATTTTCCCAGTCCACCTGCAGATTGAAATCCCCCATGATCACTGTAACCTTGCCTTTCTTACACACCTTTTCTATCTCCTGGTGTATCTTGTGCCCCAGCTCCCGATTGCTGTTTGGAGGCCTGTACACAATCCCAACTATGGTTATCTTACCTTTGCAGTTCATCAATTCTACGTGGATAATCACCATCACATCTACATTAACATGTCACCTTCCACTGATGAATGGCTATTGAGAACAGTCTTTCAATGGAGCTGGTCCCACACTTTCCTTCCATCAGAGAGGACATTCCTTTAGCTTTGACTAGTAGAATATACTAGCAGGTAACTCAATTTCAAAAGGAGGGTATTTATGGACACAGCTTGTGAAAGTGGGCAAGGTCCTTAATGAATACGTTGCATCCAAATTCACAAAAGAAGACATGGCAGGCTAAAACGGAAAGTAAAGTCACATGGAATCCATGGTGGGCTGACAAAATGGGTACAGAACTGGCTTAGTCAGAGGAGAGAGAGAAGTGGAAGAAGGGTGTTTTTCAGACTGGAGCTCTGTGACCAGTGGTGTTCCACACGGATCAGTGCTGGGACCCCATATGTATTTGTATGAATGATTTAGAGGAGAATGTAGGTGGCACGATTAGTAAGTTTGCGGATGACACAAAGATCAGGGGAGCTGCGGATAGTGAGGAGGATTGCCAGAGGATACGGCAAGAAATAGACAGGCTGGAGACTTGGTCTGAGAAACGGCAGATGGAGATTCTTCTGGATAAAAATGAGGTGATGCATTTTGGAAGATCTAAAGCAGGAAGGGAGTATATAGTGAATGGCATAACCCTTAGTCACATCAACATAGAGTGACCTAGGTGTAATAGTCCACAGTTCCCTGAAAATGGCAATACCAGTGGATAATGTGGTCAAGGACGTTTATGGCATGTTTGCCGCCTTTGATCAGGGCATAGAGTATAAAAATTAGCAAGTCATGTTGCAGCTGTATAGAACTTTAGTGAGGCCACATTTGGAATATTGTGTACAGTTCCGGTCACCACACTACCAGAAGGATGTGGAGACTTCGGAGAGACTACAGAAATGGTTTACCAGGACGTTGTCTGATTGGAAAGTATTAGCTGTGAGGAGAGATTGGACAAAATTTGGTTTGTTTTCAATTGAACGTCAGAGGCTTAAGGGTGACCTGATACAAGTTTACGTAAATATGAGAGGTATGGATAGTTGGAGTCTTTTTCCCCAAGGGAGAAATGTCAATTACTGGGGGACACAGCTTTAAAAGGTAAAATGGGAAAAGTTTAAGGGGGATGTGAGAGGCAAATATTTTACACAGATACATGAACAGGCAGGGAATAGAGGGATTCAGACCTTTATGTGTAGAGGTGAAACATTTTTAGTTCAGAAAGGCGTCTTGTGTCAACACAGTCTTGGTGGGCTGAAGGACCTGTTCTGGTGCTGTACTGATCTTTGTTTACCCCTTTTGCTCCAACATTGCCACCATGAGGGAACAATTTAAAAGGAGAAAATTTCACTTTCTCTTTTAGAGTCACCAAGTAAGAGGATACATAACAAAATAAGTCAGTCACTGCAGAAAAAAATGTCGAGGATGCTGATGTTTATATAATGTTCACAATTCACATCCACATTTTCCCTGCTCTCAGCACAAGTAAAGCAAGGCTGAATTGACAGGGATGCCAAGCTGAGAGATTATCTCTTTATTGGGTGCAAATACTGAACCCCGAGGTGTTGACTGAGCCCCTGACCGAATTCCCAGCTATTTACAAAAGTCCCCAGCTGCTATCAAATTGCCCCACACATTGAGCTGTTGGGGATGTCACAGGTAAATGAGCTCTCGTTGAGACATTCCAGCCTCAGCTCATTTGAGCAGCCCCAGAACCCACTCACAACATAAGCTCTGAAAGTTTATATTACTCTCTCTCTCTCTCTCTATACACATATATTTATATAATTAAACCTGGATTAAAAATTAAGGATTATGTAAATAAATAAAGAAGTATTCAATTAGACCACAGATTGAACTGGAAATCATTTCAATCGAAAGCCATCAGGAGGCAATAGGAAGGGGAACGATCACACAGAGGTGTGGTCAGCTGTGAGAACAATAGTGACAGAGGCCAACTTGGTGCACTGCTCACAGACTGGATGTGTCAGTCTGCACTGCCCTGGTCTCAGATACAATCTCGCTCACAAGAAGAATGGGAAAGTAGAAGTTGGAATCTAACGGAGCTGGCACAGAATTGCTCCTGATCCCAGAATATCAGGATGGGAGTGGGCAGCTGGTGCCCAGGGACTGAGTGGGTTTCATTGGGCTGTCTGAGGGGCTCAATGGCTCACATAGAGTGACTTTTATACCAAATCACATCATTTCTTCCTTATTTATAAGAAAGTCACGAATGTTTCGGCATAACTGATACAAAGACAGAACATAATTACAACACCACTCCCCACAGAGCTGACTGTACAGAAGAATTTACAAGTGAGAGACAGCTCCTGTCATGCTATGTTAGGGCACTGTCATGTGACACATTGCTGTCCTGTAAATGGTACAGTGAACCCCAATGATAAATCAGCACAACGTCACTTTACATTACATAACATGATCACATGACAGAGCCCCATCATCTCACATGACAGACTGCTGGCAAAACACAGAGCCCAGTCACGTCACATTAACCTCCAACATGTGGTCGTCCTGGCTGGGGATGACAAGGATCTGCATGCTGGAGCTGGTGTTGAAGACTTGGCCACTGGAGAATGGTAACAAGCGTGGCATTGGGACACCACGGTGCTCATTGCTGCTGGACGAATGGCTGCTACCTCGGCTCCTCATACTACTGCTCTCGACCTGCTCATCAAGGTTTCTGTCCACAGACAAGGTGTCGTTCTCTATCCAATTATCTGAAAGCCATGGAGACAGCACATTAAAACAGAAACACACCCAGCTCAGATCACCAGTACCCCAGATAGCAGCTACACCACTAGTACTGTACCCCAGTGTTATACAGTGACAGACACGTGCCCACCGGTACTGTACCCCAGTGTTATACAGTGACAGACCCGTGCCCACCGGTACTGTACCCCAGTGTTATACAGCGACAGACCCGTGCCCACCGGTACTGTACCCCAGTGTTATACAGGGACAGACCTGTCCCCA